AAGATATTGTTCAGACATGATGAATTTAGCAACGAAAATATTTAGATATTTAGATAGTTTGCATCTTCAATATTTGAAAATTCTCGATTCTTATGTTGTTAACATAAGAAACGCCATGAGATTGAGAATCGATCACACTCATCAAAACGTACAAAATTGTTTACCACCGGAAATATCATCTAACAAGGGACCTTTTTTTAAAAATTTTATTAATTGATCATTTTTCATGTATTCCTATACTTTCCCCCCCTACTCTCTCCTCCTCCTTCCCGTGACAAAATAATAATAATAATAATGTACATAAACATTTTATTTTTTAACATAAAAAAAAAAATAAAAATTTTTTAAATATTTTATTTCTTTTACTCGATTTTAATTATGGAGAAAGAATATTCTAGAACAAAAAAAGAAAAAAAAGTTCGTTATTAAATTATAATAAATTCGGGGTGGGGGAAAGGGGAGGAGGGAGGGGGAGGAAATATTTCATCGATTTCCGGTTTATCGATAATTTATTAACCTCATTTTTTTCTTTTTTTGTAAATTTTAATTTACTTTTCGTTGTTGTTGTTATTGTTGTCGTTTCGATTTTGGGGGGGGAGAAGGGGGTTGGGGAAGAATTGGGGTGAGGTTAGTGACCTGGAAAAATTTGTTTTTTTTTTTTTTATATTAAATATATTTTACCTGAAAAGGGGAAAGAAAAAAAAATTGAATTTTGTTTTGTTTTGGGATTTTATGTAAAAACACAAAACACAAACGAGTCGTTTGTTTTTTTTTTTTTTTTTTAATAAAATTCATGTTTTGTCGTTTGTTTGTTTGTTCGTTTGTTAAATGGGAGAAAAAAGAAAAAAAAATGAAACGGGGAGGGGAGGGGAAACAAGACAAAAGAGTTTGGAAAACGCAAACGCGATTCGCGTCGACGAATATTTTTAGTCAATATAATTTTCTTATAAATTTTTTTTTTTTGTTATTCTACTGCCACGAAAGCGAAAACGATTTCATTTGTAAAAAAAAAAAAAAACTTTTGACCTTTTTTTTTTTTTCATTTC